CTGCTGAATCCTTTCTGAGTGACAGGCTGGAGCCTCGTCACCACATGAATGAGTGGACAAGAACGGCTCGGGATTCCTTGGACGCCTTGGTTTACGCTAACCATGAAATAAAGCTGCTTGAGAAGTTATGGAAATATATAAATGCCAACCATTCCTCAGCGAGGGAAACTGTGAAGGGAACCAGCTGTGCTATTAGACATTTTCTAAAATGTATGGATAAGCGTTCCCTTTCCATTCCCCTTGCTTTTCCCCTTCACCGACACTGTAGCCTCTTTGAGGCAAACACCTCCGGAGGGTTGCTAAAAGCCTTTCCAAAAAGACTGCGTTCTTTATATGTTTTCCAGGGCATAAATCAAAAGTTGTTGATCAACAACAACGGACATGGTTTTTGTTTTGCTTTAAACAAAACTCTAAGAAAGTGCCTTCTGTTTCTTGTTTGTCTGAAACGTACCTCTTCAAGGGAAAAAGACTCAGCAGATGTCCCCAGGGTGTGTCAAAAGGGGCACTTCACTGAAGTCACTGTACAACACGCATCAGATGTGGCAATATCGACCACGTAAGACGTATTGTCCTGTTTTTTAGCTGGGTGAATCATACGATTCCAATCCTCCAGCACACAGGACGTAAACGTCCATTCCCAATTTCACTAACGACACAATTATGAATAAACCAACGTGAATGGGGTGAGTGTAAAACAGTCAAAACTCTCAGAGCCGTGACATAAAACAGACCGCATACTTTGAACAAGCCGTCCCTTAGCACTAGAGGCAGAAGCGGGGGAGCAAAAAAGGACACGGACAGTAGAAATTTGTTTACAGTATTAGATTTTGGTCTGAAACATAAGAAGATAGACATTTGCCTCCTAAAATAAGAACTTCCTTTAAAAGTAAAAATGAGGCTGTGCTAATCTAATGCTATTTTGTATAATTAATTCATAAGAATAGCAACTACCACAAGAATCTCTCCTAATTGTCCCTTAATCAGATTTCTAAACCAAATTCTCTGCAGCCATTGTGTTTCTTTTCTCAAAACCATCTTACAAAACCTTTTACCCAACTAAGAAAAATACCACGAGTTATCTGAGGTGTGTATTTTCTTTGTTAATGTTTTAAAGCCTTCTCACATTGTCCGAGATTTATTGCCATCTGCCATGCCAACGTGACCTGCCAGGCATACCACAAGATTTCACAGGGACTTCCACAGAGCAGCATTCACCAGGTCAGAGTTCAGCATCGCACAGATTTGTATCGAATGACGTACTTACAACAAAGATGCTAAGGACGTGAACCATGAATGCCGGAGCAACATGCCTCGCTGATGCTTCAAGCACCCATTTCTCCATTTCTCAGAACTAGAGTTCTTCGGGGGGCGGGGAGGGGAACAAACAAACAAAGAGCTGGCTGATGATGAGAAAAGGAGAGCGTGACAGCAGGTGACAAGGGAGCAGCTCAGGCACGGTGGCACTCCCGTGCCTAGGTGCACTTGTCGGAAGTGAGTCCCGCCAGCCCTCCAGCTGCATCACGCTTACTAAACAAATGTGTTTTCTGCAGATGGCCGGAGAGTGCCAAGCTGACGGGTACCTGAGGAGCTCGCCGGCAGCTGACCTTCTGCAGCACAGGGCAGAGGCCACGTCGGTCATTTATAACTTGGGTTCTCCTTTACCTGTTGTCACCATTCACTCAAGAGGAAAAAGGGTAGGAAAAGAGAGGGGCTCCAGAGAGACGAGTGCCAAAGGAAAGGGGAAAGAATACTTGTGATCAGATAGTACTGAAGAGGCAGAGAAGAAAAAGTACAGAGACAAAATGGAGAGCCAGAAAGAAATGAGAGCAAAAATAAAGCTATAGAGCAAAACAGAGAAACTTGAAAGAGAAAGAGTAAGGCAGTACCACCAACACCAGAAAGCTTTTCAAACATAATTCACTACTAGGAAAGCAGCATGAGAAATCAGTTAAAAAATTTCTAGCGTTGATAAGGCTTAACAGGAAGAGAAAACACACATTAGATGGACTCAAGAACGTAAAACTAGTACTAGTTTTCCTGGCAGAATAATAAAAAAAGGCCGGGGGGGAGATGATTATGGGGCAGCTCTGTGATGAAAAATCTGACGACAATAAATAACACCACCACCCAGGGCAGCTCGGCCCAGCCAGGCGAGTACAGAACAACACGCACCACTACCGGCATTTCTCACCACAAACAGCCGAGTACTGAATGAGGCAAGAACCCGATAGCCGTGGCAATGTCGGGAGACCCAGCTTCAGCCTTGCACATCCCCGACTCAACATCATCTCCCTTTGCAGCAAATTTCCAACATGTTTTCATAGCTACTTCTAGGGGTGAGATGACAGGTTTGATGAACTAACGAGACTTATCTCCTGTAAGAATTCCCACATTTCCCAAATACAAAAGGCTAAAGCAAGCTGAATGTATTACTGCTCGCTTTCCAGCACAGACTTGATCCTGCACAGTAACCGACTGGCACGTGTAAAACCAAACCACTTATCTGTATGGTAAATTAACGTTTTGCTTTAGGCATTGACATTTTGAAAAGTCCACATGCAATAACTTCCTGCATTGTATTGGCAATAAATATATTTTGTTACTACTTGCACAACATCGACTACGCTTCCCTTTAAACCAGTATCTGAGAAAGAGAGAAATGCAAACGCGTAGGACCAAGTCTGAAAGCTTCCTATAGCTTTTCCTAAGAATACTAGTTGGTCTAATAAAGGATGCTAACTTTCCCAAAATGTACTGTTCCACATATACCTTCAGCCCATCGCATGTACGATATTTCTACCAAAGAGTCACAGAATAAAATAGCCTCAGATTGAAGCCCAACTTGGCAATACCGTTATTTGGGCACAGTCTGTTACAGTATTTCTCTGGAATTGTTGGAAAAGCTTTTCTGCAAATGGTGAATGTCCAAAGTGGAAAGCAGTATTAAGAACCTGTGGTCTGTCTCCTCGCTTCCTTCTCCTCTTTGTCCTCTGACTTTAGCCCCGTCTGTGCATCTATCGCTCAGAGCACAGGTGCAGAACAGTAAGATGTTTCACCTGCTCTTTATGCCAAGTGCCTGCAGGCGGGCCGCTGCCTGGTCGAGGTGCACACATTGTACAGTAACAAATTCTCCTAAACCAGGAATCGCACTGAGACTGTCTATCTGACAGGCAGTTATACAGCAACTCCTTGTACCTGTTTTGAAGGAAATACCTCACGGGCGTTTCAAAAACTTGCCGCTACATCCGCAAAAGCTCCACAGTGAATACTTTCAAAATATTCTGAGGTCTGCAAAAAGGCATTTTGTTCTTGGGACAAAGAACAGCCTGCATTTGTAAGAGCAACCTGCCCCACGCTCCCTGCGAGACTGCCCGTCGGAGAGCGGGCACCTGGCACCGAGGACGGCAGAGGCGAGCTCGGGTCACGGACCCCGAGATCGCACTAACCACTCAACCCACGGGCTGCGTTCCCAGCTCAGGAGCCTCTTCCTCCCTCAAAAGATCAGGTATCAGGGAACAAACTGCTTCTGCTGGAATCCACAGGTTTTGTTTCAGCTGTCTGTTAGCCATGCTTAATTAAGTTTAAAAAAAAAAAATCACCACACACAATGTTTTAAGCCAAAAAGGTGCTTTGACAGTACTTTGTTATAAACCCTGCTTCCTTCAACAAATTCACACCTCTGTTTAAGAGCACCTGTACACTGAGTGCTTCCGTTCGTGAGAACTTACCCCCACTGGGAAAAAAAACCACCCAACCTTCTTTCCACCTTCACGCAACCAACGTACTGCCGTGTAAAGCAGTCAAGTGCCATTACACCCGTTTAAGAGCCGTGCAAACAACTTCAGACACCTCGAAGCACCTAAGCCAATCTTTGTGCGTTTGACAAGCTCCGTGCCGCAGCAGGTTGAATGAGGAGACGCCAGGAAGAGTTTGCACCGGGACATCCCACCGGTGCCGACGCGATACCCGGCCGTGAGAAGCCCGGCGCGGTCCGGAGCCAGCAGCTGCGATAGGCGCCTGTACGTGCATATGAATAAACCGTATGTCCGTACATACGCACGTTTATTTACATACGAGCGTATGCACGTTTACACACGCGTTTTAAGCAAGGCTCACCGCCGATGCTTCAGCAG